CCGAATGTCATCCGATACTACTATCAAGAAGCCCACGCTAATTTCCTCTACATTGCTCTCGAACTTTGTCCCGCGTCCCTCGCAGACGTCATTGAGAGCCCTGACCAATTTCGCGAGATATCCAACTCATTCGATCCAAAGCGTGCTCTCCGCCAGATAACATCCGGGCTCCGACACCTGCACTCACTTAAGATCGTTCACCGCGACATCAAACCCCAAAACATTCTCATATCTGCACAAAAGAAGGGTGCATCAGGCAGGGATGGTGGGCGGAGGATGCTCATTTCCGATTTCGGCCTATGTAAGAAGCTCGAGATGGACCAAACGAGTTTTCTACCGACAGCACACGGTGCTATGGCTGCGGGCACTGTCGGATGGAGAGCGCCTGAAATTCTCAGGGGGGAAGTGAAGCTTGACGACTCGATAAGTGATGACCATTCGCAATCATCACGAGGCAGTGTCAGTACTGCAGTGAATGGGTCAACATCAGGCAAGCCAACGAGACTGACTAAATCTGTTGATATTTTTGCGCTGGGATGTCTATTTTACTACGTCCTCACTAACGGATTGCACCCATTCGGGGATCGGTTCGAGCGGGAGGTCAACATTCTAAAAAATACCAAATCCTTAGATGGCCTGAAGCAGTTTGGAGAAGAGGGCTTGGAGGCGGTAGATTTAATCACCAACATGCTAGATCCTGAAGCCTGCAACAGGTATGTTTCTCGTACAGGTTCTGTTTCTGGGTTTGTAATTCATGCGTACAGGCCCGACACCACGTCATGTCTTGTACATCCATTTTTCTGGGACCCAGGGCGTCGCTTGAACTTCTTGCAAGACGCATCAGACCGCTTCGAGATCATGTGCCGAGATCCCCGCGACCAAAACCTGATTATTCTCGAAACCGGCGCTTTCGATGTCCTCGGTCAAGACTGGCATGCACGGTTAGATAAGGTTTTCATTGAGAACCTGGGCAAGTACCGGAAGTATGACGGCAAGGCTGTACAAGATTTACTAAGGGCTCTGCGAAATAAAGTGAGTCAAACGGTGTACAAAAATCCTTGCTGCCAGAAGCTGACGTGCACTTGAAGAAACACCATTATCAAGATCTACCAGATCATGTAAAACGGCATCTAGGTCCCATGCCGGAAGGCTTCCTATCCTACTTCACCCGCCGTTTTCCCCGCCTCTTCATGCATGTGCACGGCGTCATATCCAACACACCATTATGCCACGAGTCCATGTTCAGGACATATTTCGAACTGGTCGACTAATATGCTGTCTATAGTTATCCGTCTGATCGATTGGAAGTCGACGATTTTGCATTTGGTTTTGCATATTTATTTTAACATCATATCCACATCATGTATCTGTACTTGTAACTGTTGCTTGGTATACATTGTCCTGTGTAATGAGAATCTTAATCCTGACTAGACAATCCTTCCATGTGTTTGACGACACACGTTACATGATAGCGCAACCCCAGCCCGGTCGTTCCTCTTGCTGCGCTTGGGCCCTCGCTCTCTCCCTTTGACGCATTTGTTGGTACTGAGCCTCATGGTCTTGCCAAGTAATGCGTCGTCTCGCTTCGTCTCGCCTCGCGTCTTCTAGTCTCGCCTGCTCGCGTCTTACTGCTTCTAGTCTCGCTTGCTCGCCTCTGATTGCTTCTCGTCTCGCTATCGCTGCCCGTCTTTCTGCCTCCTCTCTAATCGCGGCCTCGGCCTCCCTCCTTTGCCGCTCTTCGAATCGCGCCTGCTCGGCCCGCCAATCACGTAGCTCTTCCTGCTGCTGACGTTGCTGCGCTGCCAATCCGAACAGCCACTGCTGTTCCTGTACATTGACAGCCTCATTGACAACCTCATTGACTGGATTCTCGTCGTAGATTGTGCCATGATCCCTGTTCATGTGCTCATAGATGGTACTCCTAGAAAAGACGCCCATGCATCGCCAGCAAATATGGCTGTCGCACCTGTACCCGAGCGAATCAATGAAATGCAGATAAAAGGGGAGCGCGTCCAGAATAACTTACAGTGTGCAAGTCATATGATTGCAGCCATCCACTTTCTCGATCAGTGCTTGACAAGTCGGGCATTTCTTCACGCGCCCGCCATGAGCTGCCAGCCATGCTTCCGTCTCTCGCTCCTCAGCAACGCGTCCGGCCTGCCGCTTGTTTTCGGCACAGTCCATGCCGTCATGGCCGTCATCATGGCACGATGTACATATGTTTGAGAAACATGAAGGGCACTGGCCTGCGACCGCAGTGCTGGGGTCGGTGGAGCGGTAGATCTGATTGCAGTCTGGTGTCTTGCAATACTTGAATTCCTGTGGATGCCGAGATATATACGCGTGAAATGCTATTTCCAGCAAGCGGTTGAAGGAAGTTTGAGGGAGGAATTGTTGGATAGTGGGAATAGGAATGGGGACTTTACACTGAGTCTCATCACCCATGCACGTGAGCGGAAACTGACCAGATTCCAAAGCGGATGTCAAGAAATGACGCATGCAAGGAGAACAGTAGACGTGCCCACAACCAAGAGGAAGTGGGGATGATACGTTGTCATAGCAGATCGGGCAAGACTGCTGTCCTGACGGGTCTGGGACGGTCTGTGGTCCACTGAGCGAGCCTTGGATCAAGCGCTCGAGAGCGTGTCGTGCTTCCTCACCACCAGAGATTGTGATTCTCCGTGCAGATATGACGAATTTGACGTTGTCTTCGCCAAAAGTTTCCCTCAGCTCTGGTATTCCACGTGCGATGAAAAATCGAACGGACTGCTTCGCGAGTACTTTGGTATACTCGAGGGACGAGAGCTGCTCCAGCTTGTCCTTGATCAACTCACGAGCCTGTTCGACAGCTTTTGACTCTCCATAAACTTTCAAAACTTGTCGTCTGCAATCCGCACGTACGAGTGCCCCTGTGTCGTCAAAAACCGAACGCAAAAATTTGTTGTTTGGATATCCAAGTGTCATGTGCCACCCTTCCACCTTCTCACCTGCGATCAGGCTTTCCGCTCTAACTTTGAGTGCGCCAATGGCCTCTTTCTTGGAGCCAGACAAACGCATCCGGACAACGGCGCTCTGTTCATGAATATGCAGCATGCATGCACGCTTGTCTTTGATGCTGCCGATCAAGGCATCCCACAAAGGCTTTTGTGCGCGAAATTGCTCAGTAGAAATAGTGATCGAGTACTGTGTGGGATTCGGGAGCCGGAACCAGAAGGACACGTTCCCGATGCGATGGTTAATGAGACGGGTATGCACCGCGTCCGCGTCCTCCCAAGAAGAAAACCGCGCACGGACCATAACGGTACCATCAATGCTTGGAGTCGGCAGTAGAGGCTCCAGTGACTTTAGGGTTCCAGGAGAGATGCATTCGATATCTTCCCGCAATGTGGCAGTGATATGACCAACATCTTCACTGAAAACTCCACCTCCCTTCACTGTCAACCGCCTGACACCATCTGAGCCAGAAAATGTTTTGACTTCTTCGTCAGAGATAGTTGGGGGAAGGAAACTAATCTTGATTGAGTTGTTGTGGAATGTTGATATGAAGCGACCAGGTGGCATGGTGTTGATCTCGACTTTGACCCGGCGCCCAGAGCACATCTGGCGGTTAAGTTCCTGCACTTTTGCGATAGCATTTACCGTATCAGGGTACTCTGCGACATAGCGCACGGATGGGGCACGCCAGGATATCGTAAGGACATTACTGTCACGTTCGGTCGCTGCGGACATACTTCCGGGACTGTTGTAGCCTGATACTTCGAGAGTCAGAACCTCGTCCCTAAACTCAAGGCCACCGAGGTCAAGCGAGAGTGCTTTCCCAGATTCAGCGTCCGTGATGATTTCAGCACTAAGCTTGCCACCACCTGGCATGGGCTTGACGCTGACGAGGTGGAACCGCCCTCGATCAAGGCCGCGGTTTGTGAACAGCGCATTGATTTCATCTTCCCGCACATTGGGAGGCAGATTTGCAATACGCAAGGTACAGCACTCGAATCCGGTGATTAGGTGAGATAATTCAAGGCCTGCGCTGAAGGTTACGATGGACCCAAGTACAACGTTCTGGACCGTCTTCGCGGCAGCTTCTTTGGCAATCTCGGCTGCACGAGCTTTAGCCTCAGCCGCACGAACTTTGGCAATCTCGGCTGCACGAGCTTTAGCCTCAGCCGCACGAACTTTGGCAATCTCGGCTGCACGAGCTTTAGCCTCAGCTGCACGAACTCTGGCAATCTCGGCTGCACGAGCTTTAGCCTCAGCTGCACGAACTCTGGCAATCTCGGCTGCACGAGCTTTAGCCTCAGCTGCACGAACTCTGGCAATCTCGGCTGCACGAGCTTTAGCCTCAGCTGCACGAACTCTGGCAATCTCGGCTGCACGAGCTTTGGCCTCGGCTGCACGAACTCTGGCAGTCTCGGCTGCACGAGCTTCGGTCTCGGCTGCACGAACTCTGGCAGTCTCAGCTGCATGAGCTCTGGCAATCTCAGCTGCACGAGCCTCCATGGCTAACTTTTCTTCTGTTTCAATTTGTTGGGGAACAACATCTTCAAGATGCTCCTGGTGGTCGCCAAGCTAAATACAAGGGAGAAAGGCACCCGAAAGATTCACGTACTTCAATACCATGCAGAAACCGGCATTTTGTGCCTCTTGCGCACATCCCGGCCTTCCAAGCGCGACACACTTCGCCACCCTTGGAACTTCGGGATGGCCCAACAGACGTATGAGCGGAATTCTCCGAGGCAGGCCTTTGAGACATAATGCGCTGCACCTGTGACTGAGGCGCCCTAGGCTGACGATTCTGTTGGCCATTATGCTGGCGACGACCCTTATGGTTGGATGGACGGTTGACAGTAGTACGACTCGATTCAGCATGTTCAACATGCTGAGTGTGTGCTAATGCGTCACCCTGTAATGACAAGCTTCAGTACATAACCGAGACTATGAATTTCTGAACGAAAACTTGCCTGGATTTCGTGGCTGAACTTGCACTTCGCCCCATAACGACAATGACCTTGGAGATGATACTGGCACGACATGGTAGGAAGGAAACAAGTCCTGAATTCGAGTGCCGCACACCTCGTGTACACAGCAAGTCTGCATCAGACCAAATTGTTCCAAACAGAATATTATGGAAGCATAACAAAGTGGGCGCTTCGATGGTGGCGGTAGCGCCGTCCAGTACATTCTATAAATAAACGCGCATGTCCTAACCAGGACAGCTCATCAATGTGCTGAACATTGTTTCCTGTGTTCAAGGATACCTGCCTCATGAAGTGATCTCTGTGGGGAACTGATTACTCTTGTTCAAACTTCTCTTGAAGCTGCCTCTAGCACTGCAACGCCGAAGACTCCAAGTCAAGCTGCAAACGATCGAAAACCAAATGGATGGGACACGTACAACTTATCGTCTCAACTGCCACTGGCAAGAAGTCACCAAGCACTAGTACGTGTTCCCTAGCTCTCCCTATCTCCTGCTTCTTTCACGGATGTCATACTTCTTTTACTAGATACTCAACCTGTGTATGGCGTCGTCACTGACAAATCACTACTAGTCAAGTGTACGCACTCTTTGACACTCCCGGTTCGTTTGTTGTAATGCATTAACTCGCTGTCCAGGCGTTGGGGTACTCAGCGAACGACTTGCAAGTGAGAAAACTTTGTAATAAACCATACATCGAGTATCATGTTTCATCATGGTCACCTGGAACGACACAAGCTCTGAATACATCAAAGGCATAATTTGGTCGTTGCTGTCAAACTTAGGTCATGATTGAGCGATACAGTTACATGTCTGGGGTCTTGATGATTCAAGCGGAGTTTTAATGACTACACTATGCCGCACAGCGCCCGCTGCCTGAAGTGCCCGGAATGCTAATTTCGGGCTCGTCCCAAAATATTGGGCAATGCCAACGTCTCCCTCCTTCAAGTTCCCTGTCTCTTTCCCCACACCGATCTACTCGCTCCGGCCGGCTCGATGTGCCACCGCATGGCGGTAAATATGGACTCGATCGTGCTCAGCGTGTGACAACGGCGGGCAGCAGGTGGTAGTGGTGACGGTGCCGTGGCGGGATGTCGGGCGCTGTCAGCCATTGGCGACTTCAAACTCCGGCATCCGTGCCGAGCGTGCACCTAGCAGATACAGACCCAGGTGCCGTGCGGCCTTCACCCAGACCGGCTATCTTCAAACTCGTCCTCGGAATAGATATCCACCCTGCAAAGTACTGATCACGAACGACTGCAGATCTTGCTACTCCAACTCGAATCACTCATCGTCACGAATTCAGGAGATCAGGAAGGCCGACCATTGCTCGTATTTTGAAATTGGATGCTAGGCAAGAAGAGACAATATCATGGTTGGTATTGATTGCTACAAGAATGCAATTACTAACTGAAGTTCGTCTTTCAAGTCCAGTATGTAGATCTTTTGTGCGAATAGTACTCACCGTCACGGTGATCGATCAATATATTGGGAGTCAAACTTGATTCACGCAAGGTTCATGCCTCGGTCCTGACTCCAATTTTCGAAACCTGAATTAACCGTGAATAGATCGTAAGTTCCCTTGGATCCTCGAACGGTTCTCATCCATTGCGCTTGATACATGATGTGTAGATCATCAAGTGTGTCCAGTAAAATGCAAACCTGTACCGACCAACCACTACATCATAGCTTGGTACACCCCACGCCAGCAATGTGCCCAACGGCTGCTGCGAGACATTCTCCAACACAAGAAGATCTGCCAGTATTTAGCGTGGCGTCGACATCTTCGTCAGGCTAAACAGCAAAATAATGATTTTTCATTCAACAGGTCTGCCAGTGACGCAGAATCTGAGGATTCCTATTCCTTGTTACCTACTACCATCACTACTGATTCTACCTTACAGGCATCTGAGTCCGACGAATCCTCGAGTTCCTACTTTTTGGATGTATTACTACATTCTCGGATCATGAGTCCATTGACAGTTCTGCAGATTGGGTGGTTCCAGTATCATCATCGTCTTTTCTTGTGCTGTTTTCGTGACCTTTCAATTCCCTCTTACTAGTACCAGATTCAGCAGTCTTCGAGTTCTTCAGCGGTGACTCGCAGTATAGAAGCTCGATATGACTGCTCAGTGGTTGCGACCAATCGGCAATTGCGGGAAAGGTTCTGCGTTGGCGACAAGTCCCATAAAATACAGCTACGTGGCTCATTGTACTACTTAGATTTAGTCGGGGTAACCTCAATGTCGCTCTCATCAAGCCCTCCCAAGTTTCGAGTAGCAATCTGGTAAGTCAGACAACCCCGTGCAGACGGAACGCAGACTGAACTTCCTATGCAGTGGTGCAGGCATAGGAGGGCTTTTTCTCGCTATTACTATTGGGAAGTTTGCAGGGTGCGATATTTACGTAGACTTATACGAAGCGCATGATGCTATTACGGCCGCTGGGGCTAGGATTACAGTCGCGCGACGCACGGCGGAGGTCATGGTGGAACTCGGCTTGTATAACAAAATCTCTCGTGTTTCAGCATCGCCCCCCTCTTCCAGCTATGGTCTGTTTCGAGAACTTGTGGCAACTGCGTTTAACTCGATTCGTTTCGATAGGTCCAAGATTGAGGAAGTCTGATGCCCCAAATGGTGGTTTCGAGTAGTTTCATTATACCTCCAAAACGGATCTGTGAATTTTCCAGCAAGGTGACAAAGCCTCTCACAGTTAAACAGGGATTCAATATGCATCGGCAGGATCTCGTCGACATTCTCAAGCGAAGCATTCCGTCATCATGCACTATCCACTTTAATAAACGACTTACGGAATATGAAAAGCAGTCGCTAGGATCACCCGCCCTCTATTTCGCTGATGTGACAGCACCTCGACCACCGACGTATTAGTAGGGGCAGACGGCACCCACTCTTCAGTGCGGAAGACATTTTTCGAAACAATAGGTCCAGACACCATAGACCCAAGCAAGATAAGGCGCTACAGTGATCCATCTTGGACCAGAACGCTTGTCTATGTCGATGGCAGCATCTTTCCAACGGAGAAGCTTTCGAAATTGGATCCAAACAACCTAGCTTTGAAGGATTTCATGATAGTCAGTCCTCAGAAAGTGGTCACGATTGTCAGGAATAACTTTTATTTCGCAGTTTTACGGGAAGGAAAAGGCGATTTATCACAATCGACTAGTCCCTGTTTACTCATGAATATTTCAAAGCACATCATCTCGTATCCTGTTTCTCAAGGAACGCGGATCAATGTCACAGCGTATGCTTCCGATGAACAGAAAACAGACATACCTTTTGAGGGTCATTGTGTTTCGGCTGTATCCCTAGAAGAAGTTGTGGAGGCATATAAGGACTTCGAACCCGATGCTAAGCGCCTTCTGGATGTAATTTTTTGGGGGGTTGAGTCGTTTATGCTGTCCTCGATTGATGAGCATTTTTCGTAGTATTTCGAGAACCCCTCAAGATGGGCGCTTCACGTGCTAAATGAATTGCCGCTATTCACTTGGGACATAGTTGCGCTGATAGGTGCTGCAGTGGGTCTCTTCTTACTGGCACAACAATCATTTGACGAGACCGTGTACATAGGCCCATGCCATGACGCCCCACTTTGGAGCTGGAGCTGGTCAAGCAATTGAGGTATGCATGTTTATTCAGCAGACCGCGCAAATTCTTCACTTTGTATAAGGGATGCTTCCGTGCTTGGTTGCCTTCTTGCGCACCCGCTCACAACATTGGATAATGTGCCCACTGCGCTGAAAGTATATCAGGATGTCCGCCTCCCGTTCACTCAATTCGTAGCACATCAATCGGAACGTAGTACGGGACAGATGTACGATTTTTGCGCACTTGAGACAGATCGAGGCAATGAACGAGAAGATCATAGACTTATGGGGAAATTGGGACAATGAAGGTGAAGGTGGTGCAGTTGCTGAATGGGTAGAGGCAGAAAGGCAATTGCAGGAGGGTTCGTACAGTGGACGATCTGAGAACAGTGCATTGTGTCATGGTTTTACACGAGTCGTAGCGGCGCTGGAAAGCGCCAGTCCCTGACATGATGGATTACAGGCAGCAAACAGTATATATGTCAAAATCATTCACCTCTGCCAGCGCATTGTGTTTTTATCCTAGACGGGCCTGACGGAGTGAGACAAGTCACCATGTCAACCTATTATAAGCTTAATTAAGGATCGGAACCACCCTCGAGCTACTGCTGGCAATTGCCACTCAGCCACTGGCGGAATGGCAGCATTAACTGCCAACAACACTAATCCGAATTCGCAGTTCAAGGTTAACCGTTATTGATATCGATACATTCCAAAAGGGTCTCAGTGGACTGCAGCTGCCGCAACGGCATCATCAAGAAGTACCACGGCCAATGTGTTCTGCCCGAGAGCATCATGATAATCAAGGAATTTGATGATTTCATGTCCTCCCACAATTCGTTTTGATAAGGAAGCTCGATGGGACTGCCCACGGCATTCACGGCAAAGCTCACTTCTTCGCTGTCGACAGTCGCATAAAACGGAGAAAATTACGTGACCCGGGCCTCGCTGTGCTACTCAGATTCAGCTGAGGTATCCTCAATGTCGCTCTCATCAGACCCTCCCAAGTTTCGAGTAGCAATCTGGTGAGCTGGATAACCTCTCACAGACAGGATGCAGATTGAACTTCCTATGCAGCGGTGCAGGCATAGCAGGGCTTTTTCTCGCTATCACGATTGGCCAGTTTGCAGGGCGCGATATTCACATAGACTTATACGAAGCGCGTGATGCCATTACAACTGCTGGGTTTGGGGTTGGAATCTCGCGACGCGCGGCGGAGGTCATGGTGGAACTCGGCTTGTATGAAAAAATCTCTCATATTTCAGCATCGTCCCCTTCCTCCAGCTATGGTCTGTTTCGAGAACTTGTGTTGCAACTGCGTTTAACTTGATTAGTTTCGACAGGTCGGAGATTAAGGAAGTCTGATGCTCCAAATGGTGGTTTCGAGTGGTTTCATTATATCTCCAAAACAAGTCTGTGAACTTCATTATTTCGAACTGGGGGCAGAAAGGTGACAGAACCTTTCACAGTTAAACAGGGATTCAGTATGCATCGGCAGGAACTCGTCGACATTCTCAAGCAGAGCATCCCATCGTCATGCACTATGCACATTAATAAACGGCTCACCAAATATGAAAAGCAGTCATCAGGATCGCTCGCACTCTACTTTGCTGATGACAGCACCTCGATCACCGACGTATTAATAGGGGCAGACGGCATCCACTCCCCAGTGCGGAAGACACTTTTCGAAACAATAAGCCCAGACATCATAGACCCAAGCAAGATAAGGCACTACAGTGATCCATCTTGGACCGGAACGCTTGTCTATCGCAGCATCTTCCCAGTGGAGAAGCTTTTGAAATTGGATCCAAATAATGTAGCTGCGAAGGATTTCGTGATGGTAAGTCCTCAGAAAGCGGTCATGATTGTCAGGAATGACTTTCATTTCGCAGTTTTGCGGGAGGGGAAAGGTGATTTATCACAATCGACTAGTCCCTGTTTGCTGATGAATATTTCAAAGCACATCGTATCGTATCCTGTTTCGCGAGGAACACTGATCAATGTCGTAGCATATGTTGCTGATGAACAGAAAACTGGCATACCTTTTGAGGGCCATTGGGTTTCAGCTGTATCCCAAGAAGAGGTTATGAAAGCATATCAGGACTTCGAGCCCAATGCTAAGCGCGTTCTGGATGTAATTTTTTTTGGCTTTGAGTTGTTCATGCTGTCCTCGATTGATGAGTATTTTTTGCAGTGTTTCGAAAATCCCTCAAGATGGGCGCTTCACGTGCTAAATGAATTGCCGTTATTCACTTGGGACAGAGTTGCGTTAATAGGTGATGCAGTGGGTCTCTTCTTGCTGGCACTACGATCATTTGATGAGACCGTGTACATAGGCCCATGCCATGACATCCCACCTTGCCGCTGGAGCTGGTCAAGCAATTGAGGTATGCATGTTCATTCAACGAACCGTGAATTTTTTTTCACTTTGTATCAAGGATGCTTTTGTGCTTGGTCGCCTTCTTGCCCACCCACTCACAACATTGGATAACGTGCCCACTGCGTTGAAAGCATACCAGGACGTCCGCCTCTCATTCACTCAATTCGTAGCACGTCAATCGGAACGTACTACAAGACCGATATACGATTTTTGCGCACTTGGAACAGATCGAGGCAATGAACAAGAGGAGATGGAGATTCTGAAAGAGAAGATGGTAGACCTGTTGGAAAGCTGGGTAAGTGAAGGTGAAGGTGGTGCTGTTGCTGAATGGGTGAAAGCAGAAAGGCAACTGCAGGAGGGTTCGTACAGTGGACGGTGTGAGAACAGTGCAACGTGATCACTATATTCTACATCGTAGTGGTGCCGGGAAGCGCCAGTCCCCGACTCCAAGAAATGATGATGGGTTAGCAACAAACAATATATTACAGGCTTTACAGCCGTTCTCTAGATCTCTTCGCCTCCGAGGAATGAATCTCGCAGAGGTTGCGCGTCAAGTTTTCTTCTAAAGTGATTTGACAAGTTCACTTGAAGCGCTCGACAGTCTCGCAACCCTGAACCTACGATTGCAGGTTCCAGCGCACGGGATCTCCTACACCCTCAGTATATGCAATTCTTGGTACGTTCCGTGTGTGATCAGATCTAACTAGTAACGGCCGCAGGATCTTCCACCGCCCACTATCACTCCCGGACCTAATCCTGACCAGGCCGTCTTCCGATGTGGGCGTTGCAAACATGACTCTTACAGTTCGTAATGTTCTCTTTCTCTCATTAGTCCAAACAGCCTGATTCGAAGGTTGTTAATAAAAAGCTCGCAAATGCCAAAACAGATCTCGACGGAACCACTAGGGGCGATAGATGATGCTCAATCGGACGAACTGGAATGATGCTGCGTCCCGTCTGCTCTCGAAGATCTCGGAAGTCTATGCTTTATTAAGGATTGGCTAGGATTGCATCCATGCTAGAGATATATGGAAAGATTACGCGACAAACGCTGGAGTGTGCCGACTTTGTCGGCAATGGAAGTCCCTCTCTATGTCTAGAACAACGTCCTCCAAGACTCCTCGTGCTGGTCCAGGATATGCGCTGTCATGTTGTAGCGCCATACAACTTCGACGGAGAAAACGGGTACCTTTCGCGTGGCCTTGCCAGGTTGAGGGAGTACAAGGTGACAAGATTCGCATTTAAGGGGTAAGTTGCGACAGGGCTTAGTCCCGAATCGACAGATCCGTACCTGAATGTGTGCTTGTACATGCACTTCGTTTCCCAGGTAGGTGCCCCGCTACTTGGTAGTAAGTAGTACCGTGATCGTGATGGCGCACTCAGGCACTCCAGCACGATCACCACAGAAACCACAGGGACTCGAACCGACCTATATAGATACCCGGATGCCCATTCACTCAATTCATAGTACGTGGATCGGAACGTATGGGACATATTATGCTCCAGTTTTGCCTGCCTGGGTATTATGATTGGACGATCGAGGAGATACGCGAAAGGAGATGGATGGAGATCCTGAAAGATTGGACCAGTTGGATTGGAAAAGTGAGGGTGGTGCCGTTGCTGAATGGGTTCAGGCAGAAAGCCAACTGCGGGAAGATTTATGCCAACGGTGCATGAATTCACTATTCTTCCTTGTAGACTTGGTTTTTCTTGCGTTATACAATAAACGTACATGCATGACTTCAGAGGACATACAAGAAATCTAGATAAAACTTGCACTCAGGCCGATGAGAATTTTCGGGTGATGCTCCCGTAGTCAGACCTTGGTCTGGAGAGTCGGTGTTTATGTAACCTTGTACCAAAATCAACGCGTGGCACGTTGCAAGTATTCGTTTGGCAGGTTAACGTTTACACTTGCTTTCTCTGCAAGTTCTTTGGCAACTCCTTCACCCATGGTAGGAAATCCCGTCCCTGCATATATGGCCTGAGTACCTCAGGTATAACGAGACCCTGAGGGTAAATGCAGTATTAGTGACAATCCTTTGCATCGCAAAAAGAAAGAAGAGCATACATCTGGTGTCTGATAATTCTCGACCAAACAGCACAGTGCGCGTTCTGTAGCGCACATTGTTCCGTTCAGCATGTGAACGTAGACCTTCCGCTGTTGGTCCTTCGCTTTGAGACCGCAACGAACTTCTAGCCGCCTGCTCTCTGTAGTGTCGCTGAGTCTACATCATCGAGAAGTTTATGGGCGACAATCCAACTTACGATAATCCGTACAATTCGAGCAAGAAACAAGTTCCTTGTATGCACCTTGGAATGGGAACCACGCCTCCAGATCGCATTTTTTCGACGCTGCGAGGTTCAGTGCACCACTGACGATCGCCACCACACGGTAAGAGAGACCCAGGCTCTGATAGAACCCTTCACTGTTCGCCAGCATGGTGTCGAATGCATTCCAGCTCTCTTCCGGAGCGGTGATCACGAACTGCTCAACCTTCTCAAACTGGTGCACACGGAAGATGCCCCACATATCACGTCCAGCAGAGCCGGCTTCTTTACGGAAACATGTCGAGTATCCAGCGTAGTATATGGGAAGCTGAGCTTTGGGGTCTTCGAACCATTCGTCTTGATGGAATGCCGATATAGGCTGCTCCGAGGTCGCGATGAGATATTTCTCGTCGTCATTGGCGATAACCTGTATGACGATATAGATTAGTTTTGAATTTGCTATCCACCAACTTTGTCATGCCTTGTACAGTTCCTCGTCGAACTGGTCAAGCTGCGCGGTCTTTGCCATGACGTCTTTATTGACAAGGAATGGTGGTTGGACTTTCTTGTATCCCTTTCTGCGGAGGAAGTCGAGAGCGTATGTGATAAGGGCTTGGTTGAGATCGACACCATCATTTATGAGGAAGTAGCCGCGGTGACCTGCGACCTTGGCACCTGACGTATTGGTTTCAATACCAGTTATGGAATATGAATGCAGCGATAATCGAACCTCGATCAAGGTCCATTGCATCTAGTCTAAGCAAAACTTCATGGTGAGGCATGATATCCGTTTTCTTTTCTACTTGACCATTAGGACCATCTGGATGCCAGGTTCGGAGCAATACATTGTCATCCTGAAATGTTATATCAGTTTCTCAGTTTGAATAGGAAGACATAACTCGGATACTCACCTCAGTCAAGCTGACTGGGACATCCTTCGCTACGAGATTTCCTACTGTAGAAGCTTTCTTCCGCATCTCAACTTCGAACTCGCGGGTCTCTTTCCGTTTCGCATCAACCTTCGCATCTAGCTCTTTCTTAGTAGCAACAAGGTCATCTGCTGGTTGTTTGGCCTATAAGAGATCATAAATCCAGGCAGGTGAGTGGATAAGCGTCAAGAACAACCTTCTTCTTGGCTGCGATCTCCTTTTGCACCGCGTTGACCTGCTTGCTGAGGCCGTTCGCCTCAAAATCCACTTAAAATACAATCAGCACATGGATTATATGTTCAAAGCCAGAGAGCTCTCAAGATCGTGCGTTTGAGAGGGCCGCCGATCATGAAAGGCAATCAAAACTCACTCTTCACCCACTCCGCGTACATATCTATCACCTGATCGACCAGCTCTACCGACTCTCCTCGCTTCCGCTGCGATTCACGAATTTCCTCGGCATTCCCTCCTTTGTTGTCTATGAAACTAGTCACGTCAAGCGTCATGGTAGTTATATTTCTCTTCTAGTTTTGATTAAACTTTTGGACCGTCGGTGATGGAGGAGACGAGGATCGAAGCGATCAAAAAGGGAGATAGCCAATGCTCGAGATCAAGGGTATCAGCTAGTATGTGTCAACTGGTGTAGTGTTATGAATCAAGATGTTTTGCTATCCTTTTGATCTCTTCCTCGAATAGTCCTTCGAATCATTCGAGTCATGATCGCGTTACGTAAGCGCGATAGTTGCACCATCGAAACCAGCCAGTGCGACACGTCGAGCCACGGTATGAGCGCTTGAGCCTCTGAACGAACTGGCGATGCTTCCTGTCATGCTTGCATGCACCTAATCATGATTTGATGACCTTGAAATTTCGTTTTGGACTCGCGAAACAAAAAATTCAGAACAAAAACCATATGACCAAACAATTGTCAATAGAAGATCCTTAACCGTTCGTGTCGGTTGAAGTGTTGTAAATTTGGTTTCTGGTGTACGTAGTAGTACATCAGCCACCCAACAGTATCACTGTATCGATAATAACCTTCGCTTGCCCCAGTCCATATCTTTGCTTCATATATCTGTCATTTCACCTGACACGTGCTATATCAATGTTCAAGTTTATACGTCGTGTTTCAACTTCATTTCTGCCGCGCCCAGATCGGCCCTGGAGAGATGATGGTGAGTCGTGTTTCATATCCCAACATGGCGATCTGACGGTCTTTTGGAATTGGCGCGCTCTTGTATTATTGTTTTGATTGATTGATCTGATATGTAGCAACGTCAAATGCTCCCACAATAGGTCGGAAGAGGTGCTTCAGCTTCGTTGAGGATGACGATGATGACTCTACTTCGACGAGTGTCAAGAAACTAAGGGGGGACTCCACGCAGGTTGAAGGCAGTACCCCTCCAATACCAGCAGACTGGGATAAGACGGAGGGGGAGGGTGTCAAGTCAGTGACACAGGGGGTGGAGGATGTGGAATTGGATGAGAAGAAGTTGGATTCACCCTGCGGCCCCGAGGAAATCCCACTTCCGGATTCTCCTGGTAGAACCCAACCACTGGATACAACATTGACGGAAGAAGCAGCTACGACTCCGGAGGAGGAGGCCGATAAGGAAGACGCCCAAGATGATTCGGATGCGGATTCGGTAGCTTCTTCATCTGAAGTAATTTTGGATGAGGGGCAACCTGAGGATGATTCAAAGGATGATACCAAGGCACTTTCTACATCAGCAGCTGAGGATACACCTGTCGCAGAAGACATTCCCACTGCCGATGATACCCCAGCAGACACTGAGACCGGTGTATGACGTGGACCATACCCTCGCTTTTACAATCTATTTTATCGATGAACACGAGTACGTCTAAGTGCATAGATCTAGTTATTGATGAATGTACGGATACAGAATGGATTGCACGCTGGTTGGTGCAGAAGAGGGTTCTATTAACGATTTATGATACCGACACTGTTTATACGTACTGCTACTAATTCCTTGTTTGCCAATTATATCAATGTATTCAGGACACTTCGGATTGAGCGATGAAGAGATCCGATGCAATATGTACAGCCACCTCATTCAACTGTGATGGGTACTACCATCTGTCATGATGCAGGGGATGATATTGATGGTCGTTCATATTTAGGTTTCTCCTATCAAACTCATGCGTACCAGTGGCCATGTGCTGAATATTTACTTGAGGTGAATGGTCATTCGTGTCAAGCGGCGGCCATGATACACGAGGAGTCGGACCTACGCGGCATTACAATTGGTTACTCTTTCATTCACATTCCTCATGTAATACTATCCGCTTAGCAGGCAACTGGAACGCACATGTATTAATTCCGGCTTTCTATGTCACCAGAGAGGTGAGCTTTGTTGTCATCCTGCTACTCTCAATCTGACTCGTCCGATGGCACTGGCAGTGGCTGAAATGTAGAGAGCCCAACCAGATCTAAAAACTGCCAACTTACTGCAAACAACGGTCACGGTCCACAACGGTTTATGACTCTATTATTTGTTGATTAGCCGATATGGCAGGTACTCGCCTCATGTTATGCGTGAGGCGTACACGCCTTTCCTTGCGCTCGTCAGCCTCCTCATACGATAATCTGAACAGCTAGCCGCCTACTCTCTATGGCTAATCGATTTCATCCTACGAGCATCGATAGTGATATCGTGCTTCTTACGCCCCCCTGTTCTGTGACATCCTCACCTTTCACATCAAGCTTCTCCTGCATGCCCGCCCGTCCACGGTACTTATACCTGACACTGGTTTCATGTGTCCGAGGTTTCCTTGCATTTAAACATTACACGTACTTACCCCCATCGATCTTTCAGCACCCTCACCACTCTTCCACGCCATTAATCACACGCCGAGAGTCCACAGGAAACCCTTTCGTCACCACACACTCAACCCAGTCTTGGATCTCTCATCTTCTCCACTATGTTTCGTTTCATAGGCTCGGAATCCAATAGCAAGGGTAAACAACGTCAGCAAGACGCTGACCCGGAACTTCAGGTGCATATCCAAACCGAGGTCCACTCGAATCGTCCTCCCGTAGAAAGTCAGAGCTCCCAAGCCCTAGACAGCACATCCTCCCTTCCGACTACGCCTTCAAACCCTAAGCGCCCGCTGCCTCCTGGGCTCCGCGTGCCGACACACCCTTACCCATACTGGCAAAATCATACGCCGGCATCATCCTCCCAGAGTAGCCTCGAATCACCCAAAACCCCTTCACAGGTTTCCTGGCTTGGAGGGGCTGGAGGAACTTCGGTTGCTCGTGCTGCATCATCATCATCATCATCACCGGATCTTCAACCTCATCACTTCCCACCACCACCACCCACTGCACCACCAGCAAATGCCACACGCACGCGATCCTTACAACCCTCCAAGAGCTCACATTCATTGCGAGTACCGATACAGGAGTGTTTTGGGCAACCACTTTCCCCAATTGTTGAGCAAGACTATATGTCACCTGAGAAGCGCACCGTGTCATTACCAAGTAGCCCAGATGGCTCCGGTTCTCGAACGAGTGGTACTACAGCCACCATGATGACACCGATCAGTCCATCTATGATGACCCCAACCAGTGCGGTGGCTATGTACCCCGTACGCCCAATACCCACGCCCACCACTCCAGTTGCTCCTCCACAGTTTGTGAGGCGACGAGAGGATTCGCTTGGTGACTCATCACGTTCGTTCGCGAATTCTGGAGTTTGTTTCGTGACTGATCAACGTGAACAGGTTCTTCGCCAGTATATTCAAATTTTCTCTCCCGCCCGCTGAACAGGACCATAAGTATGTCGTCGACGAGGACACACCAGTCTGGCAACTCGTTATCTGCAACACCACCTGTCATTCCCCCTCTTGATCTACGCCCAGCGTTTCCTGGACCTCTCCCTTCAGACACAATTTTGTCCCGGGATATCGCTGAGGATATTCCCGATGATACATCGACGAAACGCGAGAGCTTCGTCACAGCTCTGTCGGCTGGTGCAATGCGGGAGAGCAGGTACTCTGCTATGATTTTGGAACCGGATCATGAACCTCTAGATGATCAGGAACTCCTATCAAGCCGAACTGCGGAGTCTTCTAAGAATTCCCCCGAGCGCCAACAAGGAATCCCCCAGCTGCCTTCACTACCTCCAGCAACACACACACCCTTACTCCCCCGTGCTTCATCGCGAACCTCAACATATCCACCCTCATACTCGTTACCACAGCCCAATGTAGATCACCGGGCCAATCACGGTGGGCTCGATACTCCAAGCCAGCGTGATTCTGTTCGATCGATGTCATCTTCATTCATCGACCGTCGCTTTGCAGACTCAGAGCTATATTTCGGCTCATACACAGAATGCTCTAGCGCACGCCAGGCCAACGAGAAATGGACTAAGCATACTGAGAAATCCGACACCGCTCGGACGCTGTTCTGGCTTGGGTTTATCGCACCATGGTGTTGGCTCATCGGTGGATGGCTGGTGAAAGCCAAGAATAATAATAGCTATGGCCGGGGTGGCAGCATGACGCCCTTGTGGACGGGTAAGAGCACACGGACCGTTAATTCATTTACGATGCAGCCATTGCACCATGGCTATCCCTTTGTGGCGCCTTCGGTGCAGAGCTTAATGCCGCCATCATATTCGCGAGGGATACATTCAGCACATCCTCGTGGCCCTTTTTTAATAGCGAGGAGCCCGTGGATTAGGAGGTGCAGGGTGGCTGCTGCTGTGAGTGGGATTATTATTATGCTGCTGTTCATTGTTGCCCTGGTGGTAGTTGGGAGGAGCAGTTGAGTCGACTTTTGAACAACTAATCATGAAGGATCCGTATCCGGATATTATATTCTCAAATTAAAATGAGCAAAGCGATATCTACCGTATAGTACTATATGATCATTTCTCCATTGCAACTTCCATTACATTCCGAGGATCAGATTCATAGAGATCTGGTTCGAACCTGTAGTACTTCATGAATACCTAGCATTTTACGAATATTCAGCACTTTACGAATACTTACGCTTTACGAAATAAAGGTACCTAGCAACCCGAGCGTGTGGCAGCATGTTGTGGAAACTGTTGAGCCTGACGACAATGCGGCATGCTTGAACAAGCCAAGCCCTTCTGCGGCTGTACTTGAACTTATGTAAGCATCACACCTGCAACAACCCAACCCCAAATGCGCCTCTCGATGATCCAGAGTGACCCGACTCTCCACAACCACCATGCCCAAATCACCAGCAGAGATTCTTCTCGAGAAAGCTGATAAGAAATCAAATTCTTCGACTGGATGGTTTTCTTCTTCATCAACTAAATGGGAGGAAGCAGGGGACCTATACCAACAAGCTGCCAACTCTTTCCGGCTCGAGAAGCAATTCAAGGCGGCTGGCGACGCATTTTCAAGAGAAGCAGAGTGCAGAGAAAAGTGCAACGAAACCAATGATGCAGCAAATGCTTGGTGGAATGCTGCCAAGGCATACAAGAAAGATGACCCTCAATGTATGTTTCTCCGTACTCTTGATGGAGCTGATACTGATCTGGCTCTGCAGTGGCGATTCAGGCTTTAGGTTGCACGATTATGCATCTCACCAAGTCGGGCAGGTTCCGCCAGGCAGCTGACAGAGAGAAGGAGATTGGCCAGATCTATCAACACGAATTGAGTAACGTCGCGAAGGCATGTGAGAGCTTCCAGCGAGCCGCCGAGTGGTATGACCAGGAGGAAGCTGCTGCGTATGTACAGCTTTTACAAAGCAGACAACAGCTCACCTTTGTTATAGAACGGCTAGCGCGTGTCGTAAGGATGCAGCAGACCTCTGTGCTGAAATTGAAGACTACAAAGGGGCTATACAGCTTTATGAGATGGTCGCAAGTTACGCGCTGAAGTCGAACCTGACAAAGTATAGCGTGAAAGATTACTGGTTGCGTTCGGGCCTTTGTGCACTCGCCATGAAAGTACGTTTCTCATTAACGTGACCTACTCAATTTCTCATCATGTTTTAGGATGTTGGGAAAGCACAGCGGGACATCGAAGTGTTCAAGTCGAAAGATGTTACATTCAGCTCAACTCGGGAATGCAAGTTCCTAGAAGACATGTGTGCGCTTGTAACGGATGGCGATGAACCAGCCTTTACGACAGCAGTGTTCGAGTATGACCAGGTCACGAAGTTGGATAATTGGAAGACAGGAATATTGTTGAAGATCAAGAGGTCACTCAAGGATGAGGTGGATATTCTCTGATGGGATGCCACTCACGTCTCACCTGTATTTCTATGCGTACGTCTGACGGTTCACATTCACATTAATAGTTTAGATTGGGCCGATTATATTGACATGGATATCATGCACGGGGCGAACCACAAGTAATTATATACGTCCACGTCGCACGTGCTGTGACACATCGCGCAGCTATGGAACGGGAAGCTGCGGGTAGACCCGTGACCAGTCTGTATGTATATGAAGCCGCAGCCGTCGATAATAGACAGATTGAATCTGGGTTTGGATTTGAATATGTGATTTGGCCATGTACGCTCACATAAGCTGAGCGCCGAGCACCTCGATGCGCAGCGCTTTGAACATTAATTAGTGCCATGATAGCAGTGAGATCCCAAGATGGAGCATTGTGGATGACTCGAAGCGGATCTTCGTACAAGATGGCTAATGGAAGGCCTGGCTATTTGAACCTTGTCCTGCAAGCACACACTGGAGGCTGCAGTCAGAAATGCCAGCTGTCCCTGAATTTTGGCCAGTAGGACGAATCACCCGTCATAAGGATGAAATCCTTCTGCATAGAGGTGAGACATCGTGATCATCAAAAACACTTCATCTAGAAACTGAGATGTGGCCAAAGGGGTAATCATAATGCGCCAGACCAGATCTAGGACAGATAGGTATGTGCACTCAGACTGATTCTAACAATGATCAGGCAAAATAAGATCGTTCAAGCCACCAGTACTATGTAGCATGTAAGCGCACCTTGGTCCTGTAGAGTATCACGTTGCTGCAGCTGACATCAAAACAATAAGTGCTCCATGAAAACTAGTCAAACATGAATGATGGCAACAAGCAATGGTTGAAAAACAGTGGAGCTTTTTCTCGATGTCCAACCTCACTAGTGGGCAAACATAAGTGCTGAACGACGATGAAAACGTACAATGGCCCAGGATGATAACTTGAAGGTGCTCAAGCAGCAAAACTGTTAATAACCAGAGAGAAGAACCAGTCATTCTTCTCACTGAATACTAACAATTTCGTTCATCAGGAACAAAGAACCGAGAGAACCGAGAGGACAAATTTCCAGCTGTGATGCGATGTCAGTAGATGCAATTGTGGGCGCCCCAGCTTTGACGTTTTCAGCATTTAATGATCGAATGCCAGGATGGGGGCGTGGCCTTCCCTCTTCTATCTAGTCTTCTTGATTTCACCGGGTTAATCGAACGGCCGCGAGTGAATACGCTCCATGCACGCTGATAGTCGGATTTGATCATCCGAGAATAAGAGAATTAGCGAGTCATTTGGGCAGTATACACTCGGTGGGCTGTAGGGCGTTTTCATAGCCGACTTCTGGCTAGATGACCTTTGATAAAGGAAGCAGAATGGGGCTCACCACTGAAGTTATATCGATCTCGAGTGGTTGGGGATACGATATAGGTGACAAAGGTCTCTAATATCGATAAGTCATTCGGATGAACTTTACTCAACATAATGTGTAATGCTCTTGAGCCATATCCTGGTCGATGTGTTACGGACCATGCTGCCGGTGGATGTATTGGCGTTTGTGGACTGAGAATCGCAATACAAAACTTCCGAATGCGGCAGTCGTAAACCGCTCGAAATCTTTTCTCTTTCAACTCTCGTACAAGCAAATACAACTTTTGCTGATCAACAGCTCGACGTGCTGTTGAGATACTGAATAATGGTTGGACATGCATAGGCCTGATGTTTTTTTGCATACTAATCGCTCCATCATAGAGGCCAATTCTATTGCAAGGCAAAATCAATTCATAGCATCTTCAAAGCTTCAACCGTGATCTAACATTCAGTCTCGCAGGTCACGAACGATCACTCACTCAAATCAAGTTCAATTCAGAAGGGGACTTACTTTTTTCATGCTCCAAAGACCATATTATCAACGTTTGGTTCTCACACAATGGTGAACGCCTAGGTACATACGATGGCCACAATGGCACAGTATGGACAATCGACGTCGATTGTAAGGACTTTTTACCCCTTCTACGTCATGGTATTACTGATCTTGACCAATATCTGATAGCACAGTCAAGATTTCTTGTCTCTGGATCTGCCGATAATGAGCTACGTCTGTGGAACGTATCCGATGGCAAATGTCTCTACGTTTGGGAGTTCCCGACGGCTGTGAAGCGTGTTGCATTTAGCGACGATGACGAACGTGTCGTTTGCATCACTGAGCAACGCATGGGCCATCAATGTGTTATAAGAGTGTTCAAGCTGAACCGTGATGGAGATGGAACAACTCGTGAGTGAGATGGAAATACTACACTTGATCACTCCTGATACACGGCTGCTCCTCCAGAATCACTAGAACCAGAACATATGTTCAGTCCCATAGGGTCAAAGGCCACCGTCTGCGCATTCACATACACACCAAACCTGATCATCACTGGTCACGAGTCTGGAAAAGTCGCTCTTTTTGATGTTGTGACTGGGACAGAAGTTCTCAATAATGAGCGTGCGCACATGGACGTCGTCACCGATTTGCAATTGTCTGCCGATCGCAGCTACTTCGTGACAAGTAGCAAAGACAAAACTGCTCGGGTGAGTCTCTAGCTATCGGTGACTTGGGCGTTTTGTTCATAATCTGCTACTGGCCTAGATACATGACACAAAAACTCTTCGAGTACTCAAAACTTTTGCAACAGAGACACCTTTGAACAGTGCAGCATTAGCGCCCAACAAACCATACGTAGGTCGATCATTCGTCTTTTATGTCTTGCTCATATAACGGATACGCACACAGGTACTAGTAGGTGGTGGTCAGGAAGCGATGCAGGTCACGACTACGTCGCTGCGGCAAGGCAAATTTGAAACCCGGTTTTGGCACAAGGTCTTTGAAGAGGAGGTTGGCAGAGTAAAAGGTCATTTCGGACCCATTAACACGTCAGTTCCCCCAGTTTTATTTATTTTTCAATGATTTTGATTTGACTACTAGAATTGCTGTTCATCCGGCTGGCACGAGCTATGCTTCCGGCGGAGAAGACGGTTTTATACGTGTTCATCACTTCGATGAGTCCTACTTCAGAGTAAAGCCGTATGGGGATCTCCAGCTTGAGGATTGAACCCACGTATTCTATTATTCATGACACACGACTTTCCACTGTTTCACGCGTATCCGAAGTGACTCGAGGATTAGATGATCAGATGCTGTATGCACCGTGCATAATGTTGTATTGAAGCTTGAAGGGCGATCGAGTGCGGGTCCTCGGAGTGTGCCCTTGAGTCCACTCGAAGTGTTGTAAAGCAGGAGCGTGATGGAATGAAAAAATCATGAATGTCAACAAATCTCTCCTATGTGGTTAATGTCGGTGCAGAAAACACCATATTTGCCTCATGGACTTGCTAAGTAGCAATCACAGGCCCATCAAGCAGTGGAAACCAATGATCATTAATAAACAATGCCATGCAAAGGGAACGAGTGTGCAACGAGGTGAGTGATACATAGCGCAGTGTAAATTAGCGTTGTTGTCGATAGCATTGAAGGGTATGAATGTGCAATGTAGAGAGCGAAGTGGATAACGTCAAACATGTTTCTAGTTGAGATAACCGCGACACTTCGCAGAGCCACATAAACATGGAATCTTATCTTGCTCGATGGGGAAATGATAATCTGCGAAACGCGTCGCGTCAGTCAGAGAAATCAAGTATGGAGGCTTGACAAACCATATGTAATTTCATCGCCCAGTTCAATATCCTGCTTAGCATAGATGACGATCTTCTTCTCGCCGTTGATAGTGATGATTTTTGCAGTACAGTTCGGATCGCATGAGTGATTAATGAGACGTCTTAACGAAAACATACAATCAGCAGCTGCATCGCGTAAGGATCCAAGTCAGAACTTACCCAAGATTCCCCTTCTTCGTAGCGTCCACCACAAGGTCCTCATCAATCCGAAACAAATAACTGCTTCCGATCCCTTGTCGCTCATACACCTTTTCCCGTTTATCGGCGACTTGAGCCCGAATAATCTCACCAACATATTCAATAACCATCTCCCCTCGCGCGATCCTCTCCATAGCGTACAACCCCCAGTCATGAATCGGAGACCTCGCGAACCGGAGATGCTTTTTCCGCGTTTGGAGCTGGTTGAATTTGATGCTCAGTTCTGCAGCAGCTGTCTCGCCTTTTGAAAGAGCTACAGCTCGCTGTACTTGGTTGATCTCTTCCAGACCTTGAGCGCGGCGGCGAGCATTGGCGCGGTTGGAGCGGGAAGAGGTGACAGGTTGGGCGGGTGCTTCGGTTGGAGCGACTGATTCGACGTTCGTGGATCGTAGGGCGTATTGAGCGACATAGGCTGATTTCTCGGTATGAGAAATCTTGTAGTAGCCTTCGGTACGTGCTGAGCCTGTGAGATGCTTCCGAAATGCTAGTACAGTTTCGGTAGGAGGCAGCAAGACGTGCGACACGCTTGGAACGTCATCCGACATAGCCAGCCGAGCGAAATAGAGGTCCTCATCGTCATTGCATATGCCTTGCTCGAGTGGATCAGGAGGAAGACTCGGAGGCCGTGGTGGTTCTGGCACGGGAGAAGGCGAGCGCGAGACCGACTCCACCGTTGAGATGTGGATGTTGGCAGTAGCAGGAACATTGAAATCCAACTCGTCGGGCCGGATGACCTCGTCGACCACCACCTTGGCTGCTGACTTTTTCTTGACCACCTTCTTCTTCGACAAGGCCTTCTTATGTGGTTCATCATCCTCGAGCACAACGTCCTTCTTCGGCTTCTTCTTGACAGGCTCCTGCTCCTCATCACGAACCTCGGAAACTGCCCGCTTCCGGGGTTCGGGTACAAGGTTCTCCTCATCCTCGGACTCCAAGTCTAATTCAGACACCCTCGTAATCTTCGGGACGATATCTTTCTTCCGCTTTTTCTTTGGTGGTTCAACGGGTACAGGCTCTTCCGGCTCAACGAGAGGAGCTTCTTCTTCAACCACGGATGTCTTCGCCTCTTCCTCTCTTATTCTCTTCGGTTTCCGAAAGGAAAGTCCCTTCAGACCTCGCTTCTCAGCCGGCCGTTGCTCATTGACCATCTCTGGACCCTCCCTAGCTTTCGACTCTGCAACTTTCGCCTTCTCGTCTGCAACCAGCTTCCGGAGATCAGCAGCAGCCACCCGCTCAGTAATGTCCTTCTCTAAAAGAACCTTGAGCTCTTTGAAGATCGTATCTGCTGCTTTTTGAACTATCTCCTCCTTTGTCCAGCTGGTCTTTTCAGCGGCCACAGGAGCGGCGTGAGAAGGAGGAGGACAAGCTGAGAGGGTTACCGAGTGGTGGCCAAGTGTTCGCGAGCTGAGCACCATGGCTGCGCGTCGTGCGGAGTCGCTTGTTTGAAAGGCAACATACCAAGCGTTGTGATCTCGTAGGACGCAGTCGACCTTGAAGTCTTTGAAGAACGCACGCACGTCTTCTTCACGGATAGATATCATCGCGCCACCGGTGAGGTCTATTCGAACATGCTCAAAGCCGTTCTTGGCGAGGAACATCGATGACAGTGGCACTGGTAGCCTCTCTCTGCTGTTGATGGCGCCCTTGTCCTGGGCGCCGGGAAATAGGGGAAGGTGAGCGGGATGGAGGTGCCGGAGCGTGAGTAGAACTATGATGTGAAGGACGACCGCGGGTATGAATGGGTGTTGATGATGAGGAGTGTGAGGATGACATAGGCGCCAGGTCATTCACTGCTGGGAAACGAGTGCTCAGTGCTGAGTTCATCATTTTAGCTTTCATGACAGGCGCTGCTCTTCTGCTGCGGGGAGGTGATAGACGTCCGTTGGTGTAGGGGATGTGTGCAGGGCGCGCAGGGAGCTGATGACTGGGCCGCCATGCGGGCTGAACGGGTGTATGCGTCGAGCTTGGGGTCTGAGCTTTCGGTATGGATATTGGTGCGGGTATGGGTGCAGGTGGTAACGTCGGAACCTTGGCTTCCTTCTCCTTCCTTCTTTTCTCTTCTCTGCCACGATGTTTCTGTTGTTCTAGCTCTTTCCGCACTGCCTTTAATTTGAGACCTTCGCCGTCAAAGACCACCTTGAGTTCCTCCCCGTCAGCCATTCCCATCCCTGTGCCAAATTTCTTTCCATGGGTACGCTCCACACATGACTTGGCTTCTTCATGTGTCTGGTACCGAATGAACACGATACCGAGCGCTACCCCAGACTCCATGTCGATTTGCGGATCAAAGGAGGAGATCTTCCCATGTGCACTGAAGATACGACGTATCTGCTGCGTAGGCGTTAAGGGTGACAAATTCATGATCAGCACAGCTGTGGGGGGTGGTGGGCCTGTTGAGTTTGGATCATACTGTCAAGACGCGTCAATGTGGTTAATTAGAAGATATAGGTGATTATACCCACTTCATACCGAATTTCATGGAACGCGTCTCGGTGGGGACGTTTCTTGAAACCTGGTGCTTTGCGGGGATCGATTATGGTAGGTTCTGGCTCGCCTTCGATCACTTGTCCGTTATACCGCGTGAGCGTCTCCTTGCCCTTTCCTTTGCCCTTGATCCGGGGTTCACTTGTACCATCGACCTGGGCAGCTCGAACTTTCTCGATTAGAGCGCGAAAACGTCCGTCGCGGTCCTTGTCGATGGCAGGGTCATAGATGACTTTGAAGTTGTTGCCAGCAGGGTACTCAGAACAGGAGGGTGGCCATGGGGGAGGAGGAGGTAAGGAGTAGAATTTAGGTGGTTGTGGTTTCGATGATGATGCGACTGGCTCTGAGGGAGGAGGTGAGGGCGGGGGTGAGGGCGCGTGATCTGATAAATCCTGTGACGGTGGTGACGGTGCAGGTGGTGGTGATAGTGGTGGTGGTGGCGGCGGCGGCGAAGGTGAACGAGGTGGTGGTGGTACCTCTGAAGGTGGTGGTGGTGTTGGTGGTGGTACTTCTGAAGGTGGCGGTGGTGGTGGCGGTTCTTCTGAAGGTTGTGGTGGTCTCGGACGTGATTCGGTTAGGGAAGTTCTGCGATTAATTGTAAAGGAGATCTTCACAGGTTGATGAGGCCTAACACCATCAGCAACAGTCGCTGAAGTATTATTACTTGAACTCGCTACAGGTGAAGTTTCATCAACTGGTGATGCAGATGACTACAGAAATTTATCATTATGATGATTCTCATCATTTAAGAAGTAAAACTCACATTTGATGTTGACAATGAAGAATCAGCCTGCTTGCCCTTCTGCGTAGATCTGGGTCCTGTCGGTACGTTTATTATAGGTGGTCCAACATGGCCATTAACGAAAGGCTTTCCGGTCGGTTTACCTCGGGGTTGAGTTGGAACACCATTCAGGAGTCTTGGTCCTGTTGGTGGTGGTGCACCAATTTTACTAGTACCAGCACCAGGTGAAGAACCCGATGTTGAAGTTGACGACGTCGGAGGTTGTTGTGACGATGAGCCAGGCAACGAACTCAGAAGCGCTCTTGGTCCCTTTGGAGGCGCTTTACCAGACATCAAAGCAGTCTAACTAACATGAGCAACGCTCAAAATAAAAAAAATCTTGTTCGGTTTCACTGTCGTCGAAGAACGTGCAAAGATAAAGGGAAACCGGAGGATACGGTCGATGAGGATCGTGGACAATGACTAGTAAGCGTGTGCGAGCACAAACAATTGGGTCATCACCGCGGCAAACAACGACCAAGCCAAACAGCTAGGGCTTGGCTTGGACCTTTTCCTCTTCATTCAAAAATCATCAAAACTCACAGATAACGGTAACCTGGCTATCCAAAACTCTACCGACTCACGTTTCAGCTCTTGATGCGAACAAGAGTAGTGCCTCTACCACAGATGCCACGTAGGAAGTTTCGTTTGCGTTTGGTTCCTGTAGAGAATTTTACTACATGTGGCACTATCCTAGGCTACCGTGCTCCACCTTCCTTCCGAAAGCCTTGCTGCAAAGGCATGTAATCGCGAACGCTCGGTTTTCCACTCCACTTCAAGTTGGCGCTGATATCTTGGCTTTAGTATGTACTTTTTTTTGTCTTACAGACAAAGTCACACATTCAAATCTATCGGCATACCTCTATCGTTTGATTGACTTGCTCATAACCGGGCTGGAATATTCGCTACTATCTCAATAGAAAACTGATTTGATGGACGCCAAGCACCCCAATGTCAATACTCGTCGCTATGATGACCATGGTACCACAGCTGGACAAGCATTCCACAATGCACACGCACGATCATGATGCAAGGATGTAGGTCGCCTTCTCACACTTCTGTCCCTAGCATAACGGCTATGTATAACCATCTTCTTTTCTTCACTTCTTCATGATCGAATTGGCAATTAACGCGTGATGCCAACTACCAGGCTCCATGATCTAAGGCTTGAGCTGACAACAATCGCTAAACCATCTCCTAGATCTTGAATATTACACCTCTATTCAAAGCGATTGGCCAAAATTCGACCACATTTGTATGTGCCTCTAATAATTAATATTATCAGCTTACGCTCTTGAAAAATTATTGCACATCACGAAAAAGGCGCTCAACGCTATGATAAGTATCATAATAAGTACATAATAAGTATTCCAACCACCAGCAAGCGAAGCCAGTCCGGAGAGATGAGAACTCGAACCTTTGTTCAAAGCATCCTCAAACGCTTCAAAATATCCTCATAGTTTCGTTGCGTAATCCGCCGGCCCTTCCTCTCCAGCATACAAGCCGTACTATACTGCCTTGAAATGTGAGGCAGTTTCTCAGCGTCTTCGAGGAGAATAGACGAGGGTCGATGAAGATTCTCACTCGAGCTCGTTCCCAAAGCACTGGTGCTAGAGGTGTCCAGATTACATGACAATGGGGACTCTTTGCTCTCCTGCGTGATGGCAGCCAAACAAGCAGCGTCTTGCACACGAGCCTTCCTGGGCTCTACAGACAGAGACACAGGGAGCCCGCCAAAGACGAGCTCATGAGGTGGAGATTCACCAAACTTGCGGCACAGCCTTGAGAAACGCTTCCGCTTCGCTGTTGAAGGAGACAATGGCGGGGGTGTCAATGGTGATAAGGGTGGATGCGCAGAGGGTACGGTCAAAAGGTTTGTATCAGATATCAGCGTGGCTGTAGGAGACAAAGCTGCCGTGGAAGTGGGAGAGGAACTCGGAACGTTGAAGGTGATGGAAGACCGGTATGCGTGAGTGGGTACCGGAAGAGCTACAGTCCGTAGAGTGGGCAGACTACGTTGGGACTTGATATGTCGGCTTCCCAGCTCCGTAACAGTGAGATCCATGAATGACTCCAGGCGTTGCAGCGCGGGATGCTGTACATCCAATTTCAGAGCAGGAGGCGGATATTTTCTCTTGTGTCGAAGGACTTTTTTTGAAGATGTGGAAGAAAAAAAGGCGGAACTGGGTGTGAGACTCTGGCTGTGGCTTTTTTTATGGTCCCGGGGAGGATCCAAGCTCTCGAGAGCAAGCCGTATATGCTGAGCTCGTTCGAGATCTGGAACGCGTGCAAAAGGCGTGTCTTCCTGTACGTCATACCCAGCCTACTTTGATGAGTCTCGGACGCGATAGTAGAAGCAACATTATAGGACTCACAGAAGAAGTTCGAACACCAGACATTATAAATGCACGACCGAAATCTGAATGCTATTAAAATAAAACTGAACAAGATTCTGATGCACCCAGCGCAACACCGTAGAAAAAAGGATAAAAGAACGAACGAGAGTATTCTAGACTCTAGAGAAAACAAAGGAAAGGAAAGAAGGCGACCTGTCTTCCGCAGCGCCGCCCATTTATATCGTTGGTCAACGACCAACGTAAGTACCCGGGTTCGTAATTTTTTTGAACTCATCACCAACGTTAGCAGCGACATCGACAGTCTGAAAAAGGAAAGTCATTACGATCGACTGTCATGGGTAACCGCACTGCCTCGAGCTCCTGCTGTAACCGATATGTAAGTTCAATAAGCAAGTGTACGTGAAAGAGCTTGCTACCTCTGTTTGCAATAGATTTGGAGATCGGACACCAGGAATATGAATGAATGGACTCTGCTGGTGTTCGTCTTTGGCAGCTGACAAGATGAACGAATATCGCAACTGTAATTGAATCTCCGTACTAGTGACTGCATCCCTGGCAGGGACACACGATGGTCCTTGGATAGAACCTTGTCTCAGGCTAAATCATTAGCGAGTTCTTTGGTTGCCATATGATAGTAGACGTTCTCATGGCGAGACCTGCACCACGCTAGAGATCATGACAATCTGGCAATTGAGATGCTGACACGACTTCCTGTGAGCTTAGCAGGCTTTTAAAATCAAAAACACCTACTAGTTGTTTCACCATTCCTGACTGTGTCATTGTGTGTAAACAAGGTAGGCTGCGGCGTCGGCGGTTGCACCAATTATCCCATGTTTCCACGCTTACCCGAATGCCGGCCACGGTCGTTCTTGAGGCCGAAGCCTTCGAACTTCGAACGACTGCTCAAATGACCGCCAGCATGACTTCGACATACCTTTTTGAACCAACTCCTCCATGGACAACTGTAAACCCTAAGCCGTTCTTGCCTTTTCGCACGCATTGTGATAGCGAAGAGTTACCTACATTACCGTCGCCTCGAAACGAGCTGTTCAATGACACTTACGTTGTCAGTACCCACCTCGTACCTGGTGGTTGTCCAAGACTTACTCCGGACATCCCATTACCTGTGATCCCTAAATTCTCGACGAATGCCGCAGAACGGAAACGAGATATCCAGCAGCTACTCACTGAAATTACTGAGCGACAAGCACGCTTCGTGAAGGGAGAGTTAGGTGGAGAAAGAAGCGAGAAGCCGTTATGGAACTGCGTTAACCGATATGTCAAGAGAGTTCAAGATGGGAGGAAGGGTTTGACATTGTTCTTCGCTCACGCAAATGGTTTTCCCAAGGAGGTATTCATTCATTTGACCCGATCCTCGTGTCTCAAGAACAGCCATTGAATGTATTATAGATATGGGAAACAACTCTGCGATACTTACTATCGTCACCCACAG